TTGAAATTATTTACGCAAAAAGAAAGAAAGTCGCAGGATCTAGAAGAACTTCGCGTGCACATGGCGTCAGCACCGTGCTCCGTTCACTAATAAAGTACAGTTTTCGGCCAATCAGCGCGCGCCAACTATCCTAATTATATGATAAATATAGATACAGCAGCTGTCTGCACACGAAGATCTTTGAATTGTGGTTGGCGGTGAACATTAACTGGTCACACTTATTACAACTGGATACAATGTTTATTCCATTTTGAACATAGCAAAAGAAGCGAGGTGATATTTGCTTACGGGAAGTCTGAAGAAAAAGCGATGGAAATGACAATTAACAAACTGAAACCCGGCTGAAATATTCAAAGTGACTCTATTCGGGCTAAAGTATTTTATTCGTGTTTTATTTTTCTTTCTTTGTTCGTCATTTTATTGTACAATATTTAAATTACATAGTTCTTCGTTTTCACACCTTTTTATACTCATTATTATTCGTGTATATAAGTCAACGTTTTCTTAGTTTTTATCACTTGATAATGACGTTCAGTTAACATCGAAACGTCGTGTTATGTCTTTTGGGAAAATTTTATCGCTAAACTTTATCATAAAAAGAATCGGCTTTTGGAATATTGGCACTTGCGCTGCGTTCTCTTAAATGAATTGGCACTTCAAAATTGCAACCGAACAATGGGCCAATCTTTGATACGTGCATGATATCTATTTAGAAACTATCTACTTACACTGTGAAATAAGCGGAGATTCTATCAAAAATTCCTTTAGAAGCGTTATTCCCCTTCGCTTATCCATGCGTTAGAAATGAATATTTTTTGCATTATAGCTACCAGCTGAGCGGTGAATTTTGTTTCAGCCAATCACAGTACGTTTAGCTGTTTTGTCACCGTTCCTCATTCCCAGGCTACTGTAACCCAACTTTTGCATATTTTTCTGTTTTCTTTTGACTAAGTTATGATATACGTGCCTACAAGAAGCAGAAATATGGAAAGGAAGAGTGAAAACAATTTAACTCTACCGCCATGTTTGCTTCGTTCTTTCAAGCTCCAAAAATGCTTAGGGCCGGTCATTTTGTCCACTCATGGTTTGCGCACCGCGTTCACCGCTCAGCTTGTACATAGTTAATATATTGTTATAGGAACTACATACTATCTTATCAGGATAAATAAAATGAATTAACACCATTTAACTTGAGTTCTATCTTGAAGTCTTCGAGCAAAATCTATTATCTAGAATCTAGAATCTAAACACCATTTAACTTGAGTTCTATAATGAAGTCTTCGAGCAGAATCTATCCATACATCAGGAGTTCCATGCTACTGTGCTAGGCGCATGCTCAAGGAGTCAAGAAGTGGGATCATGGGTCGTAAAAATTGTCATATGTTAATTTAAATTTTCTTATCAAGCACAATTTTCATTAAATATTTAAGAACAAGTAGCAGTAAGCTAATTCCAAATCAAATATACCAAAATATAGCAATTTTTAAAGCCCATGTTCCCGCTTTTCGACCCCTTGAGAATGTGCTTAGAGCAGTAGCGCGGGACTCCTGATGTATGTATTTGAATCCGATTATTTTGAAGTCAAACTTTTACCCACCCACCCCTCCCTAGGCAAACAATTCAAATGATCATAATAATGAATCTACAAAAAAAGAAGATATATTCCATTTTGAACTTAAGGCTAACACTATCCTTGTGTAAAAGAGGCGCAAGACATTATATAAATGCGTTGTATCTTGTAGCTTTGAAATTAATTAGAAATAAAACAATAACTGTCACTATCATTGGCTACAGAGCCCGTGTCTATAAATCTAACATTAGCATATAGGTGACGTCAAGAGTATGCGCATGTTGACCAAAACGACTGTTTTTCAAAACCAAGACATTTCGTAATTTCAATTACCTCCTGCCTTAATACACGCTTGAAAAACAGTTTGTTAAAGGCGCGATTACACAGAGCAATTTTCTCTGCAACTTGTCTCGCATCGGCGTTGCGACAAAAGTTGCATTGAGCATTGCAGCGTTTAAGCCTACAGCGCATTTTGAAAAAAATATTGTGATACATGTTGCAGCTATTGTTTGCGTCTCCGTTGCACAGGGTAAACACTCAAGCAACTTGTGTCGCTGTATCCCCGCAATTGCTCTGTGTAATCGCGCCTTGAGTAGGTAGCTGTTACTTTCAACTAAACTTTGGTTGGTTTATAGAATGAAAAATATTATTCATTTTGGAAAAGTAGTAATAAATGATACTTATTCATTTGTCTCTCTTTGGTTGGTTTCTTTCTTTTCCGGGATTTCGTTCACAGTCACAGTTTTTCTTATAGTTTTATCATAAATAAACTATAAATTGGGAACAAGCTTGAGAGCTCTTTTTGTTCTAGACTTCTGCTGTATACGATATATATACCTATTGTCGAGTTGAGGTTTCACGTTAACAAATTCAGTTGCCGATCTTTTGTAGCGAGTACATTAGACAAATGTTTTAATCCATCATCACTTATTTTGTTTCTGTTGATGTACAACATGGTTAGTTTGCACTCATTTGTAGCGAGTACACCAGACAAGTGTTTTAATCCATCATCACTTATTTCGTTGTCACTGATGTCCAACGTGGTTAGTTTGCATTCATTTGTAGCGAGTGCATTAGACAAGTGTTTTAATTTATCATCACCTATTTGGTTGCCGCTGAAGTTCAACGTGGTTAGTTTGCATTCATTTGTAGCGAGTGCATTAGACAAGTGTTTTAATCCATCATCACCTACTTGGTTGCCGCTGAAGTTCAACGCGGTTAGTTTGCACTCATTTGTAGAGAGTGCAGCAGACAAATGTTTTAATCCATCATCACCTATTCGGTTGTAACTGATGTGCAACGCGGTTAGTTTGCATTCATTTGTAGAGAGTGCAGCAGACAAATGTTTTAATCCATCAACACCTATTTCGTTGTGACTGATGTGCAACGTGGTTAGTTTGCATTCATTTGTAGAGAGTGCAGCAGACAAGTGTTTTAATCCATCATGACCTATTCGGTTGAAACCGATGTGCAACGCGGTTAGTTTGCATTYATTTGTAGAGAGTGCAGCAGACAAATGTTTTAATCCATCATCACCTATTCGGTTGAAACCGATGTGCAACGCGGTTAGTTTGCATTCATTTGTAGAGAGTGCAGCAGACAAGTGTTTTAATCCATCATCACCTATATGTTTGCCGCTGATGTACAACACGGTTAGTTTGCACTCATTTGTAGCGAGTGCAGCAGACAAATGTTTTAATCCATCTTCACCTATTTGGTTGCCAAAGAAGTTCAACGCGGTTAGTTTGCACTCATTTGTAGCGAGTGCATTAGACATGTGTTTTAATGCATCATCACCTATTTGGTTGTGACTGATGTCCAACGTGGTTAGTTTGCATTCATTTGTAGCGAGTGCATTAGACAAGTGTTTTAATCCATCATCACCTATTTGGTTGTGACTGATGTTCAACGTGCTTAGTTTGCACTCATTTGTAGCGAGTGCATCAGACAAGCGCTTTAATCCATCATCACCTATTTGGTTGTGACTGATGTCCAACGTGGTTAATTTRCATTCATTTGTAGCGAGTGCATCAGACAAGCGCTTTAATCCATCATCACCTATTTGGTTGTTACGGATGTCCAACGTGGTTAGTTTGCATTCATTTGTAGTGAGTGCATTAGACAAGTGTTTTAATCCATCATCACCTATTTGGTTGGCACTGATGTTCAACGTGGTTAGATTGCACTTATTTGCATCAGAAGACCCTGACATGAGTAGCTTATACATATCCTGACACCCAATAGATGTAATGTGGTTGATACTTACATCTACATTTACAATACTCTTTATCTCTTGTAAAACGAWCACTATCGCTGTCATATCTCCATCAGTTAATGACATCCTACTCAGGTTTACGTTGACTACACCACTACAACTGTCTGCAACCAAACTTTTCCATAGACTATTTGAGTTTCGTGAAATCTCAAATATGCACTTGAAAAGTATGATCACTAGCTCCTTTTCGAAGACATGTGGCCAGCTTTCTTCACCAGACGTTTGCGGAGGTAAACTTGCAATAAAAATCCTTACTATATCCCTACTATGTTCTTCATGATGAAGCAACCCAGCAACAAACTGCATCACTACTTCCCACTTGCCTTCTTGCAGATGTTCAGAAACCCAGCTCTTTAGTTCCTTCAAACGTTTTCCCTTTACGATGTATCTTGCAGCCAGAAGCTCTTGTGTCGTTAAGTGAAGGAAGCAGTACTGTTCTTTGTGTCGAACAACACCAACCTGTTGGTCGGGCAGCCGATGAAGCAGACCACTTTCTTCATGTGTCTCGACTTCATTTGATTCGAAAATCAGCCTATCCTCTTTAATTCCTTTATAAGCTATTTCCCCTAGACTATTCAAAGACTCTCCTACTTCAGGATCGAAGTMACGTGAGGACAACAGCTTTTCTTGTTCAGGAGGACTGCGGCGATATTGTGGGTTGTGTTTGCAGACAATAAGCACTAATGCATCTTCGTAAATTTCGGTGAGTGTAGTTGGCAAATAATCAACATCGTTGTCTTCATCCGGCCGTTTTAGTCGCTCTTGTAACGAAAAGCACACAATGTGGCAATTTACAGGAATGTAGCACAAAGACAAAAGATTTGCATTGCCTCTGATGTGATTCCATATTTTCTGTTTTATAAAGTCTTCACAAAACCTTTCCACATATTTTGCTATTTGCTCTGAATTGAATCCCAGAATTTCCAAAGTTCGGTCAAACGTTTTATTTGGAAATGATACATAAGAAAGAGCAGTTGGTCTTGAGGTAGTTACAACTGTAGCTCCTTTAAAGAGTTTTCCTAGTGTTAACTTGGAATACAATGCAGAGAATGGAAGTGTCTCTGCAAGATTGTTCCCAAATTCTTCTTCTTTAACAATGTTTTCTTTCTTTCCAAATTCATCAAGACCATCGAAAATAAGCAACACTTTTTCTGGCTGGCTTAGTATC